TAACGGTTTTTACAGTAGGAAATGCCAGAGTTAAAGTTACTAATGCTACTGTTAGGATAGGCTTTCCAGAAAGCGGTGCAGCTGCAATAAGACCACAGAAACGCTCCAGTTTACTCCTTATTCTGCTGCTCTTCAAAATAATCTAACCTCATTTGTAAAATTACCAGTGATGAGACATCCATTAAACCTAGTTTTCAACGATTGTAAGCGTATGGATTATTTGGTGGATCATGCTGTTAGCCACCAAAGAGCATCATCTGCCTTTTCCCCTTTCCTTCCACAGGCAAGAGAGAAGCAAAGAAAAAACTATTTATCTCCATGTTCTGACTTCTGAAGCTGCCCCCAAGTAAGAATCAGAGGATTGTTTAGGTTGGAAAAGACCTTTAATATCAAGTCCAACTGTTAATCTAGCACTGCCAAGTCCATCACTAAACCATGTCCCTAAACACCACATCTATATGCCTTTTAAATACCTCCCAGGGATTGTGACTCAGCCACTTCCCTGGGCAGCCTGTTCCAATGTTTGACAACCCTTTCAGTGAAGAAATTTTTCCTAATGTCCAATCTAAACCTCCCCTGGCACAACTTGAGGCTGTTTCCTCTCATCCCATCTCTTGCTACTTGGGAGAAGGGACTGACATGCACCTCGCTACAACCTCCTTTCAGGCAGTTGAAGAGAGTGATAAGGTCTCCCCTCAGCCTCCTTTTCTCCAGCCTAAACAATCCCAGTTCCCTCAGCCACTCTTCATAAGACTTGTGCTCTCTAGACACTTCATCTGCTTCATTGTCCTTCTCTGGATGCAGTCCAGCACCTCAAGGACCTGTTTTGCCCCAGATCTACCTTTGTTGTGGCATGCAGACAGAAGAGTGCCAGCAGAGCAGCTGCAGCAAGCCCATTCCTTGACCCCACACGCAGGGGACAAGCCAGGCCAACATGGTGATCTTTTCCCTGTTGCGCTCTTCCAGCTGCCAGCAGTCTGTGGCTTGGGGACTTCCTGAGCCGGAGGTCATCTGGCCACGTTTCTGCGTCAGTCCCTCATGGCCCACCCTTCCAGGAATTTTCCTATTTGCCTTCTGAACACATTCATGCTTCTGGCATCCCAGGGCATCTGGCAGCAGCAACTCATAGAGCATGAGTGGGAAATCCATGAAGGAACACTTTCTTCTGCTTGTTACAAAACTAAAAACCTCTTTGGACCACTCACAGTTTGCTTCTGTAACGAGTGGGAGTGTATTTGTGAGCAAAACTCACCGCCTCCAAGCTACACCTGATTCGGCATGAAAGCAAGCATGCAGACAGTGATGGATTTACTGTCACAATTCCCCCTACACCCCTTAAAATCTTGGTACTGTCAGTCAGTCTATGGATCCTGATGCCCAGAACATTGCCATCATGAGACAGCTCCTGATGCCCAGCAGCAAGCACCACTCCTGCAGAGCCTGCTTTGGGACCCCAGGGCACCCAAAACCCCTTTTCCCTCCCAGTTTACTCCTCCTTTTCCGGAGAAATAAGTACAAAAAATAAGTAATTCTAAGCCCAGACTAGCTTTTAAGTTTTGGCATCCCCGAATTTGACTAGATATTAGGCAAACTGGAAAATGGCTAGATATTAGGCAAGCTGAAAAAGGTGAAGAGGAGTCAGAGGCCGTGAAGCCTCAGGACATGGGAGGCTGCGTGCAACTACATCATTAGGGATCAGTGGTAGGGCAGGGGAAGAAAGCCCCACTGGGAGTGGCATGAAAAATAACAGGACACTGCCTTGCATATTAAAGCATATTCATGTTTGTGTTTACACTTGATTTTATTTCCTAATTCCATAAGTTTAGGTTTTTGCATGGCTGAACTCCAAAACAGCTGTAAGGGGTGAGGATTAAGTCAGGGGAGGAGGGAGGATGAGAAAAAAAAAAGGATATGGCTTCCCAAGTAAATCTCCCTCAAAAACATGCTAGAAAAAAACCTGCTGTAGTGGTTTTGAAGGTTAAAGGGTCCTCTCCACAGCCCTTGGACAGCATTTAAAATGTGATTCACATCTTATTCATCAACTTGTGTATATTTTCTGGATTTGGGTGCATCTCTTGACCAGTCCCAGTTCTGGGAAAAGGCCCAACTTCTTCATATTTTAAAACATTTCCAGAATGTAGGATGACACAGTGCCATACAGTAGGGATGGGATTGGAGCAAGTTGCACGTATAATGAAGCACATGAACTGTTTTGATTAGACAATAAGCAGGGGAGCTGGAAACGACATGAGCTTTGTGCTAGCCTGTAGGACATGATTTTCTGCCCATTCACGAACACGTACACAGAACAACACCTTGACAAAACAACCACGTTAAGACACAGCTTGCAGACAAGAAGCCTTAATGATTCTCTGATATACCAAGAGCCCGTGGTCACATTCAAGGGGATAAAATTAGCACTGGAGTCTCCAAATAGCAGCTACTCTGGCGTTGTGGTGTTTGGATGTTGATGCTGACAGAAACAGCAGAGGACAAGAGCAGCGCTTAGAAAGTGCTGTCCCAGACCACAACTGCAGCCAGGCTGTCCATCAGATGATGCCAGGGAGAAAACCAGAAACTTTTACAAAGTAGAGAGCAATTCTTTCCAAAACCTAGTTACTGCAGGTTAGTGGAGATGCTGAAACATGGAAATTTTATGTTCCCTTTAAGCACAGTCCTTATACAGTTCAGTTTTTTAGTAGTTGGGTGAGGGATGGGGTCTTCTTAAAAGGTCAGTCTCACTTTCATTAACCTGGACACAAGGCTGTCCAGGTGCTTCCTGAGTTGAGCCTTGAAGTTCTCCTTCCCAAGTTCCAGGGACAGCCCTGCCACTGAGGTGGTTACGCTCCAGCAGTCCCACAAGCAGACAAGCTTGAGTTGCTGTTAAGGGAATGGAATCTGGCAAACTATTGTTTTATCTTAGACAGCTTGTTTCATACCCTGGAGGAGATTCACTCCTACCAGGACAGAAAAGCTGTCTTGAGAGCAACCATGTGCAGCTGGACCAGGTTTGGTATGTTTCATTGACTGTCCAGCTCCAGGAAGCAATACATGAATGGACAAGGTCACCATCAAGGAAATCAATGAAGCACATTTGCCCTTGTGCTCATTAAGGTGCCACCAGAAGCAAAGGTCAATATAACTTGCAGGTGACTACAAAGTGAAGGCACTCCAGAGCCTGCCACCTCTGCAGCTCCTGCTGTGGCAGTAGCAGTGCTTATGGAAAGAAATACCAGTGTGACGGATAAGGGTCTTCAAAGTCAACTTCTGTAGTTACTCATTTATTCATCCCAGTATTTACTTTGCTTGACTTCTCGCTGCCTCCCCCATTTTCTTTCTGCAGAGTTTTCAACAGGTTTTGAATCAATGGACTATAATAAAGACAGCTGTTCTGACAGATTTCCTTTGATGCAGAGCAGAGATGTCTCTGCAACCACAGCAGGACACCAGCTCTACAGGACACATAATTACATCCCCACTGTCCCTCTTGACCATCTCAGGGCCAGTTTGTTCCCCTCTGACCCTGAAGCAAATACCAGTTTTGCAACTACCTGGGCCAAAGTCATGTCATTCCTTATCTCTTGGTATTCCCTACTCTTCCTAGACCAACCTCTGGCCCTGCTTTGCTGGACAACATGTTTCTCTGTCTCTGAGGCCTCACCAAAACACTGAACTTTAACTGGGGCTCAGGCCAGTTGAAAGTAAGGGCAAGGTCACTGTACTGCCACATAAGGAAGCAATTCTGGGGAATTTTACCCTGCCTGCAAGAGTCCAGCAACACTTTGGCTCAGCTGGGAGTTCTCTTCCTGCAGCTGATCATTAAAGAGCAGCAGTATCTTGCGTCTTGCTTACATCATCCTTATTGAAAACCAGCATTTTCCATCAGTGCTATGGACCAGCAACACAAAGAATGAAGGAGAGCCACAGTACCATGGTGCCCGTTTTCCTCTGCAATCACAGGTCTGTTATGATTGCTCAGTGGGATGGAAACGTGAAAGGTGACGGATACTTCCTGGCAGACCCAGTGTTGTCCCTTATGCCCCCTGAGGTACAGGACCCCATGCCAAATTCCTGGTCAGAGTCTTGCAGGTCCCAAAGCCTGAGTGTGGCTCACTCCAAAGGGGTGCCCCTGCAGAGCTGCTCCCTCCAAACACCTAGAGATGCAGTTCTGTTCTGACCCCAGTCCCATCCTAAGCCTCCAGTGGAGCAGCACTGTGGTGGGCTCTCAGCAACTTCCCTGGCGTCTGTAACACTTTTCCCTTGTCTGGAGTCTCAGTACATTGTTTTTAATAAAAATATGTTTATCTGTGTATGCACACATTTATAACTCTGTGGAGGCTTAGGAAAACAGTTTTGTACAAAAAGAAAGTTATAGATTATCCTCTATGAAGATGAAACTTAACTAGACAAGAAAATTTAGTGGTTACACATTGAAAACTGAACAAGGCTATTACCTTATGAAGAACTCTGGATCTATCTCCCATACACCCCTTTTCATGCTCTGGAGTTGACACATGCCCATCCTTGTGAGTCCGGGGATAGCAAATAAAATCCATATAGGCTACTATATAGGGATATGGACTCACATGATCACCATTAGACATAAGGGCTGGTTTAAAAAAAAAAAAAAAAAAGGTCTACACAAATCTGTTACAAGTTGTAACAAGATTGTAGGAGGTTGGTAGTCACCTCAATTCCACAACAAAAGTAAATCTCTGTTACATTATGTTGCCCTGTCATAAGACTAAATGAGAAAGTCAGACTTCATGGAGGCTTATAAAGTTTTGTTGGGATGGACCCCAAGTTAAGATCAGTCCCCATGTATGAAAATTTCCCAGCCTTAAAACATAAAATGCACAGAGAGGGAAGCAGCTATGCAGTGATGAGGACAATCCCCTCAGAAAACCCCAAACATTGTAAATAAAGGATAGTCAGACAAAAAAAGATACAAGACTTCTGAGAGAGTATTTATTCCAACTTGTCTTTCTATTCTAGTCCCGTAAAACAGACTGTCCAGTAAGAGTTATGCCTTCTTCAGTCATGTGCTACTTCTGATGTCTGGACGTGGAGATAGATTTTTTTGGCCTTTGGAGCACTTTGCCTGCAAGAATAGCAAGACATCAGCAGCAAACCAGAAATGAAGGTGTTCAGAGAGCACTTAACTTCAAGTACTTGCTCTGCCTTTTTCCCAAAGAAAGTGAGCATCTAATCCTCAAATCCTCTAGATTTTCTCTGACTCTTCAGTAGATACTTCACTCACCACACAAGTAGCTGCTATCAAGTCTGCCCTTTTTCTGTTCCACAATTAGTTGGGGTTTTAAGCACAAATAACTTTTATAATAGTGTTGCAGCAGTTTTGAGACTAGTGCAGTTATTCACAAGCCAGTAAAGACTTATGCTTCTTGTTTTCACATGCCTAGGTAGACAAGCAGTAAAGAGAGAGTCCAAAATCTCTCCAGCTAGAGTCTGGGAATTAACTGCAAATTTTTGGAAGCATAGGAGGCAGCCAAGTAGCTCCCGGGCTTCCCAAAGGAGCTATGGGCAGGGATTTTGCACAATTTCAAGTAAAAGTTGCTAAGAGTTCATCATTCTGACTCACCTGTGAAAGTTTTCAACATCTTCAACAGTCTCAGGCAAAACTCGCCCTTTAGTTTCAGGTAGAAGCAACACCAATCCACCCGCAATCAAACCAAGAACAGCTTCGAATCGAACAGATGCACAAAGAACTTGTTAGCATATACCAATTTCCAGTGTATACGCCACTTTCTTACTGCCTGACACAAAGGACTTGCAAATGGCATTTTATTTCATTCTTCATACAAGATGTGCACACCAAGGCTCTATACTGTTATACCACATCTGGCTGCCATGTGGAGACAGCAATAAGCCAAGATCAGTTGTTATGCACTGAACTAGGGCATCTCAGACTGGACAGAGAATCCTTCCTTTATAGAGGAAAGAACCCTTTCTAGTGTGAGAGTATGCCAGGAAACATACACAATTTTTCTGCTGTTCACATAAGATTATAAAATACATACAGAATGTATTATCTCCAATACAATGTGATTAACTTCTCCACTGATCATTTCTTTTACTCACTTTGAACATGTTTGGAGTCTATATTTTCAATCTACCAAGCACTCTTCTAAATGTCCTGTCTGTTGTAAACTGCATCTTGCCATTCAAGACATTTCTCTATAAATAGTGTGTTGATCTAAAGATTCAGAAAGGTCTTGCAGATCCTGACCTGAGAGTCCAGGTCACTAGTCTGCAAACACTCATCTTGTATTTATTTACCAACCTCTTTCCAAATAGCTGGAGGATAGCCAGTTAACAGACTGTCAGAAAAGCTGGTGTAACAGCCATGCTTGTACTCCATTAAATAGGCGATTATGTGAAATTCTAGGTTTTGGCTCCTGGACTGAATCAATATACCTCAGAGAAGAGCAGTAGTAATTCATCAGATTTGAATCCATCAAATATTAATCTCATCAAAACATTTTTCAGCCCTTTGCCATCTGTCAAACCTGTATTCACCTCTAACTTCCTTCAAAATGCAAGGAACAATAATAAGGGCAAAGGAGACATGAATGCATAAACAAGCTCCAGGTTGTTACAAACTAAAGGCTATGACTTGTATAGACAGGAAGGGGCTTCTGCTGAACTTGGAGCAACTGCTTCTGTGGCTTTTCTCACTCTTTGAAACTTGGGCCCCACTGCTGCACCCCAGGAGTGGCCAGCAAGGAGATGGCACTTACAGAAGACTATCAGTGGCAGATCATGCCAGACTTCCACCAGTCTGTAGACAATGAATGGGACAATGACTCCACCAATATCACACAAGGATGAGCAGACCATCACCCCAAGGTTCCTGGTTCAACAGCAAAGAGATCACATAAGCATCAGAGTACTGTAGATGGAAGGGGATAGATAACAACTATGACGCTTGCACAGGACAAATCCAAGCACTACATGGAACTTTAGATCCCTCATCTACCTTGGTTGCCTCCACTTTTCCTCTTGTTTCAGTCACATGAGTTTTCACCTGCCTTAAAGTACTTTTTTTTCTTTATTAAGCTACCTTTTTAATGCATTTTAATTGCAATCTACCTACTTTATGTTCAGCAGTACTTGTGTATTCTGAAGCATTTGAGGATAACTTGATTTAGCATAAGATGTAACATGCACCTTGGCCTCAACTGCTTGTTTCCAGGCCAAATGCCAATGGGGAGGAGGATACACATACCTGATGTATGTTGGATACAGTTCAGTGTTTACAAAGCAAACCATTTCAAAAGCCATTGTGATTCCCATTCTCCCGATGCAAGCAGCAATCACTTTTAGCCAATGTATATCTGCAGACAAAATGTGTTTAACATTTAAAATATGCCAGCGATTTAGCAAGTGTCAATCAGTACACCAGTGTTATTTTAGGGGGACCTCCAATCCCATGTTACTTAATGTTTCTAAGGGGTCTTGTTTTATCTGTGTGAATGAGGAAATAGGAACAGGCACCACCACATGAGCTGTGGCACAGGGACCACTCCAAAGCAGCATGGAGGACAAAGGTGCTTTGAGGTTTATTATTAGCCGGCCTAGAAGTCAACCTCATTTCACTTCTGCAGCATGAGAAGCACCACTAAAAATCAAGGAGGCAGCACTCGATGGTAGGCATGGGTTTGTAAACCTTTGGGGCTGGACCTCAAGGAAAGGGAGATGTGGGTGCTGTTCCCAGGGGGTCAAGCCAGGGCAGGAAGCCATCGGCACATGGCCTCACCCTGGTGACTCACCCTCTGGGATCAGGGCTGTGACAAGGCAGGCAGCCCCAGCCACCAGGTTTGATGCAGCCCAGGGGTAGCGCCGCCCGACACGGTCGATGGTGACAATGATGATGAAGGCAGCTGGAAATTCAACAAGTGCAGAATAGAGGAAATCCAGATACATGTTCCCAGCAGCTAGTCCCATGTGCATGATGAGCCCCTGGTAGAGGACAGAGCTTGTGAACCTAGAGAGAGAAGAGCATCCCGCCTCTGTTAGTCAGTCGAAGAACAGAGGTCTGTTTCCTACTGGATCCCTCAAAACCAGAAACAGCTCTCCAAAGTTATCTCCTTACCAGTTGTACATCAAAATGAATGTGTTTTTTCTCATTTGTGGTGTCCTGAGAAGGTCAATGAGTGAAGGACTCTGCTTTCCACCATATTCCTCTTCAAATTTAATATCCTGTGGAAGAGCCAGTACAAAGTACAGTAAGTTTTTACTGGGAGGAACTCATAGAAGGGACTATCATGACGTTTACTTACATGTACTGGCAAACCCTTAGCTCACCTCAAAATGGGAAGGCATCTTTTTCCGATTCTTTTTAGCTATATTACTGACAATTTTCATAGCTTTGTCATTTTTTCCTTGAGATATCAGCCACCTGGGAGACTCTGGGAGGCACCTACAACATGAGTGGATGCTATTATATACCAAAACATAAAGCCCACATAGTGTTCCCATGTATGGAGTCCCCTCAGGGAGCCATTTTCCAGTTGTGCCATCAAAGGTTAAGAAGTAAACAAGCTGGAATTGGTTTACCAATTCACAAATATGGAAAAAGCAAGGCAACGAATCTCTTTCTACTATTCCTAACTTCTTAACCCACCCAGACAATTTATCAAATCCAAAGCACTCAAACTGGAAAATATCAATCAAAAAGAGAGGAGAGAATCCAAATTAAAGATGAACCCACATGCCTTCTTTTTGGTTGGACCACAAAAAACTACAACTTTTTTCCTTAAAAGAACATGTTAAAAAAAAAAAAATCTGTTAGTTATGTTAGCATTCAACAATCTCTCAATAACCACCTCTTCAGTGTAGGATCTGCTAAATTATGTCAAAGCACTTATTTTCCTTCATGAAATGCTTCATGAAGCTAATATATGATATTAAACCACTCTCTCCCAGTGTTTTTCAAAGTGGTCTTTCTTTTAAACAGAAGTCAGTTTCCTATTTCCCTCTCCTTTTTGCTGCGTGCCTCCTCTTTGCACTAAGAGGTGTACATAACCAAAAAGCAGTGCCAAAACTCCCTGAGTATCAAGCCTTGGGAAGCCATAGAAGCTAGTTTTCAGGTCACGGGCAGAATTTTACCAGTAGTAGAGCAGGAAGAAGCAACTGGGCAGGGTGACAGTGAGCTGCAGCCACCGCCAGTGAGGGATGGCGTAAGCGATGGCATCAAAGATGAGGAGCCCAACGGAGAAGGCCGTCTGGTAGAGGATGCCCACTGTCCTCCGGTACTTTGGACCAACGACTTCTGTCACTGCAAACATGCACGGAGACAGGTGAATGACAGCTCAGCCATGACTGCTCAGCACAGCAGTAACTTGCTCTGCAGGGGGGCTGGAAGACCAATGCTGTGTTAGAGCCCTGAAGAAACTGTTTTGGTAATCCTGGGCTTCCTGGCATAAAGCCTCCAAACAAAAATCCCCTGGTGCTCCCAGAGGAAGGTTTGCTTTTCTGTCACCCTAACTCTCAGCAGAGGCGAAGACACGGCTTCTGCTCTTACACTGGCCTAAGGCATCCAGTACTGTCCTCTGCTGTAGAAATCTCGTGAGTAAATCAAATATCCCTCAAAGTGCATAGATGGATTTTGTTATAAAACCTAACACCAACCTACATAATGTCTCCAACCCAATAACAAAGCATCACATTTTGTTATCTAAATGCAGCTTTTCAGCCCACATCTCACTCCAACTATATAAGAAATGCTTGTACCACAGGATGGCACACAGCTTCCTGGTCAGGTTGGCTTCACAACTCATCTGCACTTTGCAACTGCACATCACAGGATAGACCTACAGGTTAAGTCTTGTTGATAGAGCTAAAAGTAACTATTCCAGCAGGCAGGCACAAGCACACTCACAATTTTGCATCTGAGTTTGTGCTTTCAAGAAAGCAAACTAATTAGAAGAAGAACAGAAAACAGTTATTCAGCACCTGAAGGAACGGCTGTGTTTTGGAGCCACGGATTAGCTAACACTGCTTGGCCAAATGATGCACAAAGACATCTCCTCAGGCTTGGTAGGACTGAGCCAAAACGCAGCTGAAGGGTAGACAAGTGTCCCAGGCGAGCACAAGAAGGTTGCTCTGTCTTTATACCCTTCCCTGGGCATATTGGCCACCCTTAGGAAGAAGTTACAAATTTAAAAGGGGCTTTGGGGCTAATTCTTGGTGACTTCTCTCTCATGAGAGAGTTTCAAGAACCCAGAAGTAAAAAGGTGCGACTGAGGAAAAATACTGGGATAGGGCAAATCGTTGTCCTATAGGGATTTCATGCTCTAAAATGGCATAAAGCTCCCCAAAAGAGGTGATGAAGATTTCATTTGTGCCAAGAAGATATTTAAGAGGCCAAGCAGGCATATGTACAGGATAGAATAACCATGTATTGTCAGAAGATGGTCTGGACTGTGGGCTAGATGTTTTTATTTTATTTATATCAGACATCTGGATAAATGGATTAACAATATGTCTCCACTAAAAGACGTAACATTTTAGAGTGTTATTTACATTTTTATCACCATCACAGTGACCTGGATCACTCCAAGCTACTCTGTACAGCCACCTGACATCCTAATCCAGGTAAGGCTCTGATGGGCAGCATTCAAGATATTTAATTTGCTGCTCAGGTGATTGTTTGGTATTGAGTTTTTTTGACAAGAGCTGGAACTCCATACCAGAGAAGCCCCAGGCAGCTCTATAATGCACCAGAAAGTTGAGATGGCCCCAACCCTTCTGCCACACAGCTGTGCTTCGCCACCAGACATGATCAGTGCAAGACGCTGGGAGAAGCACCAGCACAGCCGGGCTCCTCGCATTGCTCTGCAGTCCCCCAGGTTGGCCTCCACTCAGACAAGCGCGCAGATACCCAAACAGCATGTCTTTCTCTGAGCAAGTACATGCTGTTCTTCTGTTATTTTTAGGCTGTAAAGCCTCTGTTTGCCCTTTAATGCTCTTTGTGTCATAAAAATGCCTCCAATTTTCTCCACCCTCTGCCTGCTTTTTTAATGGCTCCTCTGTCATCACCCTGTCTGTGACTGGGCTGGAGCGGCTGCAGTCTGCCCTGGCACCGCCACCTTCCCCAGCCAATGCTAAGGGGAAGGAGAGGAACACCAGGGGACCAGATCTGCAAAGGGGAACTGTACCATAGGGAAAAGCCTGTTTTGAGGTAACAGCCCCAATATCCCACTGCTTGCTTGAGGTTTGAAGGCTACCATCATTAGGGACAAGCAACAGTGTTTTAAAAATATTCCAAAAAGTCAGAGGGAGAAAACTTGATAAAACACCATGGGAGGCATTTTTTAAATGGCTTTTGTTTATTGTTTTGTTTGGGTTTTATTTCTCTCCATCTTCTGCAGCCAGTCTCACTCCTGGGAAAAGGTCTGAACTCACCCAGGATGTAGCCTGCAGTCCAGCAGCCCTTGCTGACCAGCCCTTGCAAGAAGCGGAGGATGACTATCCATAGATAAGTGGGCACAAAGACCAGAAGGATTCCACAGACAACGTTTGCAAGAATTGTATTTAAGAGGCAAAATTTACGGCCAAACCTGTATTTGAAGATAATACAAATAAAGCAAAACACTAGTCATGAAAACATTGGCTTTTTAGAGTAATAAGAGCTTTGTGTATTTTTGGAAAAAAATCCAAGTTTACTATACAAAGGATAGACGCATACTGACTTATTCTTAGCCCATCACTAATCTGCTTTTCAACTTCCTGAAAAAAATTACTGTGCCAAATGCTCTGCAATTCCACAAAGGCTTTCAGGCTTCTCAGAGTAAGAAAAATTTCCCAAGTTAAAGGGCAGCAATAGTCCCATATTTACATATATTTGGACTTTGACTGTTATCTCTGAATTTCAGAACAGGCATTTTAGTAATTTAGTTTTTATAATGCAGTGAAAGTATGGATTAATATTATGAGTCTGATAATTCTGCATTACCAGAGTAACAGATTTATATACCCCAATCTTAATCCCCCAATATCTTGTATGTCTAGATCTTGCTGTGAGTGGGCTACATTTCACAGCTGGATCAGCTCAGAGCCTGCTGTACTAACAGTCTCTTGGCAGGAGGGGAAAAAGGGCTTTCAAATGCCAGCATTTGTTTCTTTTTAACTCTGACCACAGGCAGCTGTTTCTGCTGGCTCTGAACAGGGGTGCCAAAGATGCCAGGACACAGGGATTTCTGAACTGGCACTCCTGCTTATCTACCTGGCAATCTCTGTGACTACTATTTCAAAGTTTCTCCAGAGGAAGCAAAGTGTTTCCAGGCTCTAAACCAGCATTTCCTGGCTTTGGTTAACACCCTCAGGCTCTGGTGTGACACAGTAGAGAGTATGGGGCATACAGTCCTAAAATAGCCCTCATGGGCTCTGCAGGACTCACAAGTCACCAGGTATGACTTAAGAGACAGAGTACTCCCTCCTAATACTGTGACTGAACACCCAGGTTGCTGCCCTTATTTTGAAAAGAGCAGAGATGATAGAAGTTGCACAACTTTTCTCTGCCTTTACCTAAGCTCAGCTGCTGAACACTGATAAGGGAGGTCAGAGGGTTTTACTGTCAGCCCACACGTACCTGTCTGCTATGTAGCCAATGTTTATGGAGCCAATAAAAAATCCAGCATTCACAGAAGACTGAAAGAGGTCCAGCTTCCAGGAGTCTTCACACACCAGGTTAAACTAAAAGAGCAACCACAGTTAAAGCAAAAGAGTGTAATGAGGAGCTGGCTCACATCCACAAGTCTCCTTCTAATCAGTTAAAGATTTAAACTTGTTTCTGGGTCAGTGCCTGTTTTATCAGCACCCAGAAACCCTACTGGCTTAATTAAGTGTCCAACAGTAAAACCAGGATGAAGCCCTTGAGCAGTTTCCTGGTATTTCCCATTCATGTCTCTTCTCTTGTTACTGGAAAGAACATACATAACTGACCTGTCAAAATCAGGACTCTAATTCATGTTAGGCCTTGTTGATGAAATCATCATGGACCTGATGATCATCCTGGGCTTTTCAAACATCTTTTTTTTTTTGTGGCTGATGGTGAACATGTCTCAGCAGTTCTGGCTGCCGCATACCCTCACATGCCACAGTAGTCCCTGCAGACCTCTCAGGACTAAGGGGGATTCCTTCACTAAATGATGCTTGCAGAAGCCAGCTTCATCTTGCTTCCCATGGACCACCAGCTCCCCGAAGGAGGGTGGGAAGATATATTTGCATCTGCCCCTGAGGCCACAGCATCTTCTCTCTGCTCTGGCTTTTTGCTCAACTAAATTGTCCTACAGCCTAACGTGTCTGAAGACCAGGTATTTTGTATCCAGGGACAAGCTTTATACCACATGGGTACGCATCTGGTCTTAGTTACCTTACTTAAGTAGATATACATAAAAGCTACTGGAGAACAAGTTATCTCAAAAAGCTGTCCTAAATATGACTGAGAATCCATTCCCATTCTACTGGTAGCTAGGTTTATCTAAAGCTATGCATCTTTAATCAACATAAAACCAGATATTCCTCCTGATGCTTTGTGGGGCTTCCCACGAGGAAATTCTTCCATGTGTAAATGTTTCCTTCAAGCAAAGTTATATGCTTTACTTTGTGCTATCCTTTGCCTTGCTTAGCTGCCAGAAACCTTGCCTTGCTTAGCTGCCATAACAGAGCCTGAAAGCCTTCACAGAAACAGTCACATCCAGAAGCAAAATACATTGCCAAAACGCACAGAGGCATATGACATTTCTGATCATCCTGTGGAAGAAGTGGCCCGCGGGCCTGGCCTTGCACCACCTTCAGAAGAAAAGGAAAGATGATTGATGTGAGAGCGTGACTGCACAAATCCACACAGACTTCAAGTTTTCAGCTTCCCGCAGTCTCAAGAGATCATGGTAGGGGCATCTGGATCACAGAATCTGTCAAGCCTTTTGCAATAGACATGCCCACTACTCTGCTGCTTTGTAGAAGTCCTGGGTCACCCTCCATTTGAGGTGTCTCACTTCCTCACTTCAATATCACGCAGTCCATACTTCACTGAAAGAAGTACACTTAACAGTACACTGCCTAAAATTTAGCTCCAACCTCTTACAAAACTGTAAATGCTGAAGCTGCTAGAGCAGAGAATTTACCTGCTCGTGTGTGTGTGTGTGTGTGTGTGTGTGTGTGTGTGTGTGTGTAGACATACGGGGGAAAGAATCCTGACCTCCACCATCTCTAAAAATTTGGTGGAACTTTCTATGACAAAATCAAGTTTGTCACCCTAGACACTGATTTGGTTTTAAAGTTAAGGCACCTAAAATCCTAAAGTACCCTAGGTAGATTAAATACCATTTTCAGTTTATTCACATGTCTTCTGAGAACACAGAAGATTTATTCTTGAATTTATTCCTGAATTAAGCTACTTAACTGTAGGAGGTGATTACCTTTTCCCCCACCCATAGTCATTCAATCATATTTGAAACAAACTTTAAAAGATTTTCTTCATTAAAAAAAAGAAAAGGTGTCAAGACCTTCACATCTGGGCACAGATCCCAGAAAGATAGGGAGGATTGTGCAGCATGCCTGCTCAGGGATCAGCTGGTTTTGTTTGCAGCACTGCAAGCTGCTGCTCCCTCACAGGCACTGTTTACACACCTCCACCAACTGGACCTCTCATGTGACAGGAGTTTCATTCAGAACTGGACTTTATCTACCTAGGGATTTATTTGCTGAAATATGCTTTGCTCCCCAGCTGGAGATATAAGCCTCCTGAGCAGACACGGCAACGCTTCACAGCAAGGACAGAGGGAAGACAATTTGCAAAGCGCTCTGTGCAAGTTCACAGCAAGAGGATCCCCTTGTCCAGGTAAGCAGGTGTCATTTTAACACAGCCTAAGCTACACCAACCCTCTCCCATGTCCCTCAGCTTGCCATTAACTGAGGGGGCAAGGGAAGGGGGATATTTGTTTGTACCTCGGTCACGAGAGATGTCCCTGGGGTGTCGTAGACCCATCCATCCCGGCAGGGACCAAGGGGGACGGCGCTCCAGTTGCCCATGAAGCTGCCGAGGGGGTTGGTGCAGCTGACACCCGTCGTGTTCCAGTCCACCTCATACCTCCTGCAGCGGCTGCTGAAACCGGCCCCATGGCCACCCCACTCGGGAACCGTGTAATTCAGCTGCTCCTCCAGACTCCAGCCACACCGCTGGCTCAGCTCAGCCACGCCGGGACTGAAGCAGCGATGCTCGGGGATGAACCCGAAGAAGACAACTCCCACATACACCGGGGTGAAGGCAGCAGAAAGCAAACACAAGACAAAGAAGGTTTGCTTCTGGAACCTGTCAAATTCTCCAACATTCTCCAAAATGTCATCTAGTGTTGGCATTTTGGCATCAAAACCAGCCCAAAAACCTCATCTAGGTCTTCTCTGAAGCACTGATATATTTAGTTGGCAGCAAAGCTATTTAAGTAACAAAGACATTTGACCAAAAGTCAAGACTAACTCCATAAATTATTAAACTACATGTTGCAAGCTTTATTTTTTAGGTTTCATTTCAAATCAGACCTTTATTCACCCAAGAAGAATTTGCATTTAACCCCTAATCAGAGCACGTATGTTGCTTTTCTCCAGAAGAGCCACTTTAGGGGTTTTTTATATTAGCCAAATCAGCTCCTCAAAGACACATTTTAAGGAGCAAGCATAGATGAAAAATTCCACCAACATGCAAACAAATGAAAAGTTTAGTGTAGCAGTTGTTGGGCACTACATGCGAACAAGGCTGATCAGCCAGGTTCTATAAAGAATAGGTAAGTACACCGTGAAACAGAAGTGTCTTTGCATTGAGCCATATAATGGTAAAAGAACAGCTCTTCCGCACACTCCAGTATCATGTATGTCTCACCCCTGCAGCCACCCTCACTTTCCACACTCCTCTATTTCCAAGGAAAACCTCTCCCACCTACATCAGGGAACACAGTTTTCACCTGACCACATTTTTGCAGTGATACAAAAGTTAAAAGCATTCACTAAGGAATTACACACTGGGAATAACTTTGGAAAGCCATAATATAAAATACACACAGCCAAAACAGCTCTTTCTTACCGTAGGTGACCTGTAAGGCCTTAGGTAGAACGCATTGTGAAGCAAGCCCAAAAAGAGCCAATTATCTCAGGCTCCAATAATACTTCATGCTGTCTATGGATAGACACTTGCTACTCCAACACCTTTGGCTGACAAGAGCTGCTTCCATCAGAAAGAAAAGTGAAGATGACATTTAAAAGATGGACCACTCTGTTGATCACTCTACAGAAACACCTGGACAGGCTGAAGCAATGGGCTGAGGCCAACTGCAGGAGTTTCCATCAGGCCAAATGCCGGGGGCTGCCCTTGGGCCACAACAACCCCCAGCAGCGCTACAGGCTTGGGGAGGAGTGGCTGGAGAGCTGCCAGTCAGAGAGGGACCTGGGGGTGTGATTGACAGCCGGCTGAACAGGAGCCAGCAGTGTGCCCAGGGGGCCAAGAAGGCCAATGACATCCTGGCTTGTGTCAGCAATAGCGTGGCCAGCAGGGACAGGGAAGGGATCTGACCCCTGTACTCGGCCCTGGTGAGGCCGCCCCTCGATTCCTGTGTTCAGTTTTGGGCCCCTCACTACAAAAAGGACATTGAATGACTCGAGCGTGTCCAGAGAAGGGCAACGAAGCTGGTGCAGGGTCTGGAGCACAGGTCGTACGGGGAGCGGCTGAGGGAACTGGGGGTGTTTAGTCTGGAGAAGAGGAGGCTGAGGGGAGACCTCATCGCCCTCTACAGCTCCGTGAAAGGAGGGTGCTGAGAGCTGGGGATGAGTCTCTTTAACCAAGTAACAAGCAATAGGACAAGCGGGAATGGCCTCAAGTTGTGCCAGGGAAGGTTTAGACTGGGTATTAGGAAGCATTTCTTTCCAGAAGGGGTTGTTAGGCGTAGGAATGGGCTGCCCAGGGAGGTGGTGGAGTCCCCATCCCTGGAGGTGTTCAAGAGTCGGGTCAACATAGCGCTGAGGGATATGGTATAGTTGGGAACCATCAGTGTTAGGTTAATGGTTGGACTGGATGATCTTTTCCAATGTAGATGATTCTGTGAAAAAAAGTTAAAAATGGTCTGGAAAGTGACTTGCACAGTTTAGACAACCAGGCAAAAAAATTAACGAGCTCCTCTAAATACACTCCAAAAAATAAACCGTCTTAGGCAGGCATTCTGGTCCAGGGACAGAACTAGAAACAGTTCTACACCTGGTCTCACTGCCCATCAGCCATCAGAGCAACAGATCATTCCCTGCATCAGAGACATGCCCCCTCCTCCACTCCTACCTCCTCTTCTCAGGCAGGAATGGCTGAAGCAGGGTAACAAAGGACACCTCTCCTACAGCCACTTACAGCTGTGTTACCCCAAGCCCGGCACAGTACCACCCCACACCAGACCTTTACCTCCACGGCTGGAGAAGCTCCACATGGAGCTGGGGAGGGGGACAGGGACACAAAAGTGCACAGCAGCCACCATGCTCTCAGCCTGCCCTTGCAACCTCCCTCAGCAGGAGGATGCATGCAGGCAGCTGAGACCAAGGAAACTGAAATCAAAGCCTGCCTGAAACATGAGGGAAGTTTAAAGTCATTAGGCTGTACCTTAAAAACACACCCCAAACCCTCACATCACTTCTTTCCTAGCAGTTTTGCTTAAACTGTTGGTAATGATGTGCATAAATTCTGTGTGAACTAAAAAAAGTTAGATTGAGATTGGGCCTTTTTTCCTGATTCCCCAGCACCCTCTCTGCAGTCCAGGCAGGGGTTGGGATGGCACTGTGCCATGCAGGTGGGTGCTTTAGAAGCTCACTTCCCAGGGAGTCACACTGTTGACTGGCAGGGGTCCTGCTCCTCGCACAGCCATTTGTACATACTCATCTGGTCCCCACTATTCTCATAACACTTTCCTCCCTATGGTTAAGCAGGGTATTCTACTGGACAGTCTGGTGAAGCAAGTCACACATCCAGCTCTGACCAAGAGATTGTCAGCCTACCTCCAAATGCCTAGACAAAAAGTGAGCAATAGTTCCAAGACTAGGCACTGAAGTCACTCACCACTGTCAGATGCATATTGGAAATATATCGTTGATATTGCTCAGAGAAGCATCCCAAGACAGAGTACCTAAGCCTCATTATGCACAGTCACAACAAAGAGACCATGCAGTGTTATGCCTCAATACCTGAGAAGTTACTTATTTCATACGGCAGTTCATGGATCAGACAACTCCAAGATGCCAGCCTTGAAGACTTGGAGAAGGCAAGCAGCCGCTTTCAACATTCATTGAGAGAACTGTTGCAATGGTAACTGACAGTATCAAAAATACACTGTCAAGCCTCTTGTTCCCCCAAATTAGCTTAACGCTAAATACAAAAAAATGCCACTTTCATAGAATCACAGAATGGTTTGGGTTGGAAGGGACCTTAAAGAGCACCTAGTTCCAACCCACCTGCCACAGGCAGGGACACCTTCCACTAGCCCAGGTTGCTCAAAGCCCCGTCCAGCCTGGCCTGAACACTGCCAGGGAGGGGGCAGACACAGTTTCTCTGGGAAACCTGTTCCAGTGCCTCAGCACCCTTACAGTAAAGAATTTCTTCCTTACATCTAATCTAAATCTTCCCCCTTTCAGTTTGAAATCGTTATTCCTCATCACTACACTCCCTGATAAAGAGTCCCTCCCCACCTTTCCTGTAGCCCCCCCTTTTAAGTACTGGAAGGCCACTATAAAGTCTCTGCAGAGCCTTCTCCAGGCTGAACACCCCGAACTCTCTCAGCCTGTCCTCACAGGGGAAGTGCTCCATCCCCACAATCATCTTTGTTTTAAGCACGACAAAATTCAGCTTTAACCAAACTGATTTGCAATTTCAATGATAACAATACAAGAGGAAGAAAATCTAAGTCTGATAAAAAAAAAATACACCACTGGGGCTCACCTATATATTCTGATCTTTGTCATCAAATGGCAATTCTCATTGAGTAATGTGATTAAGATATTAGCTATCATAGTGAAAAAGGGTATCACCAGGGTGATGAACAGCATTACAGACTAGTGTAAGAAAGATTCCAGACTTGAGATGTGGGATTTGGAATACCCACTTCATACCTTTTATTGAAATTGCTGAATACTTTATATTACACTATCTTGATTCAAAATGGAGTTTTTATAAAAAGAAACCATTGTTGAAACTGAGTAAGCCAGCCAAAAGGAACAATGAAAAGTTTCAAAAAATTCTGATCAAAGCATGTATGATGCTTTGAAACCCTACCATTGCCCATAATTTAATTCAGGAAACACCTGGAGAAGAGCAAGAGGAAACCTGACTTGCATTCATTGCCAGCAACATTTCAAATCAATGACCGTGGCCACAACTGTAGCATAAGAGCTAGAACTATCAGAAAACATTGGCCCATTTTTTTTTTCTTTTAGTTAATACAGAGAGAGGCACTGTGCCACTGAGGGCTCCTCTAGTTGTTGGGCTTTTCTTGGTGATGACAAACTGGCCAGTGCAGATTGTATTGTAGGAGTTCTGTCTCTATGTCACTGAAAACTCTGGTTCTCTGTGCAGTCAGCCTAGTCCAGCCATAATTTAGGGAAAAAAAAAAAAAAAAAATCTTTGGGTGCTTGTCAGCTGCTTAGGCAAATACTGATGAAGTCAGTCATGAGACCAGTACCAAAAAAAAAAAAAATCATGCAAAGAACATCAACCATTTCAACCATTTCAGGCTAAAGCTATACAGAGTTGTACCTTTCAGTCAATACCTTTGAACCAATGATCTGTTTAAATTAGAATGGATATTCAAATTTACAGGATAAATTAAGACCAGTTCTAAAATTTACATCAAATCATCCCAACACACAAAAGTTATATTTTTCCTTGTCTTACCATGGGTGAACCCAAATAATAATACCCTGCCGGCAGGAAGAACATGTTGCTATTAAGCAAACCTGAGTAGTGAGGATCAATAAATACAAGGAGTTAAAATGCTAGTAGTCAGATAACTTGATTCTCAGGAGCCAGGGACTTCACTGAGCCTTAATCCTTTCCTTTCAAAGATTTCTCTTTTTTAAGCAAGCATTTAACATCTATGCTGAGGCTTAAAAAAAAGTGTCCTGGCTAGAGAGAGTCAAATAACTCAGCCAACTGGATGTTAGAAATCCAGTCATTACTGAACAGATCATTGTAAACAACCAAGAAATCTTTCTCTTCTTCCCTTTTCAATGGTTTCTTGTTAAAGGCAAAATTCAGAAAAATCTTTCAGGCTGAAGTCCTCATATTTGGTTGGAAATGTTGTCCCATTATACATAATCTCTATATATATATTTTTGATTAGGCACAAGAGGGATTATTAAACATTCAACAAGTCCTCATCACTATCATCATGAAATGATACTGTATTTGTAGAGTTCTGTGCCTGCTGCTGGCCTGGCTTGGCTTTTGCTTTCCATTCCTTTCCTCCATTCAGCAAATAAGCTTTGTCATCACTCCCAAGACTGGGTGGCTTCTTTTGTGGGTGCTTTATCTTGTCTAGTCTCCTTCCTGTCTGAATCTTTACATCTGGAATGGTTAACACTTCATCCTCACTGTCCAGGTCATCCACATGGAGAGAGGTAAAGGCTTCAGATGTAACAGACTTTGTAATGTGACCATTCTCCTGCCCTCCTTTTGCTGTTCTTTGATTTGGTGCTGCAATTTCCTCCATGAGCCACTCAGTTTCATTCTCATTAGCTTCTTCTTCACTGTTTATCTGCAAGAAAAAGAAAAATGCAAGTGGAGACTACACATACCACCCTAGACTGCCACACACTGATCTCCCCAATTGTCAGACCCCACACAACACATGGCCTTGAGTTTAACTTAGTCATAAGATAGCATGCTGTTACTATTGCTTTTCACCATGTCTGAAACAGACTTCTTTCTCTCCCTGTATATTCATGTGTTATTTGGCTACTTATGGACTGCTCTTCATTTCCTCAACTCTATCTTTCTTTCCCATTTCACAATACAAATGTAGGTGTTTCTTGCTATGTGGCCATACAGATTGGTTTCCATGCCCTGAGGAACTAGGAATTAAGGGAGTTTATTTATTAATAAAAGCTTCATGTTAAGAAAGCTTGACAAGAAACAAAACCTTCGATTTTGTCAGTGTATTACCTTTGTGTATTTGTAGGAAACACCAGATGTTCTTCTGCAGCAGTTCGTTATCTTGTTTATTACAATTTCCCTAAAGAAGGAGAAGACGACTGCATTAGGGAGACTGTATCCTCTTTATTAGCCCTCATGTTTCTTGACTGGATTTTTACCATCAACATAAAGCACTTC